TGTCATCCTGTCCTGCATGCAGACACCAGCAGTGCTGGTAAGCCTGGGCTTCTCTGCACTTCCTTCCAGCATTTCCTCTTTACTGCTAGTGCAGCAAGGGGAGAAGCAATAGGGTTTCTCCAGAGGATGCTGGAAAACAGTTATGCCACTTCTTCACATCCAATCTCCTTTTAAAGCTTCTTGTGAATGTCTTTTCCCCCGAGGTTAAAAAACACTGCCTGTCATTAGACATGGTTGGTTTATTTATCATTCTCATGTGCAGTACTAGTGCTGTCATTCAGTAGCATTTATCTTCTTTTTTTAGCAATAAGGGAAAACCGAAGTGGCACACAGGTTTTGATGCCTGGTGTTGGCCTGCAGATCTTCCACCCTCAGGGCTGGGTTTTCTAGCATGGCTCAGAGAGGCTTTCTGTATGCAAGTCTCTCCCTCCTTGGCCCATTTACCACGGTAACAGTATGTGCACTCTGCTAATGAGGAGTCACGCTATGCAAACAGCAGCCTCTAAAGGGAACAAGGGATCAGAGCAGCGTGTATTTGTGGTGCCAGAAACTATCTGCCTTCATCTGTATTCCCCACACATCACTTAGAAGAAATAAAGCAAACGTATAATACAACAAAGACCCCTAAAAATACAGAGTGAAACCTATCAAATGCAACAGCAAAATTCGGTTTTGGCCTTGAAAGCTGTCCCTGCACAGTAATTTGCAGGATAGTTTCCAGTCCCATCTGTCCGTGTCTCAGTACAGCTGACTTCCATAACGCCATGGCTCAGATCCATAGAGTTGCTTAGATGTCTAACCAGCAAGGATTTGGTCCCAACATGTTTTGGTGCATGAGAGCACTCACGTTTTCTCCAGAGCCTTCACTGTAGGAAACATGATTTTTTGCCTTACCCGATGCTTAAATTGCCTGTACTTTTAGAAGAACCTTACAAGGAGAACCTCTAGAGGCTGCAGCATCTGAGTGTGAAAAGCACTCACAAGCCTTTTCTAAAAGGGGGGAGCGGGGGAGAAAATACTGTGACTCTAAAGCTATCTGTTGGTACGTATTCTTGGGTGTGCTGATGGCATTCCAGGCAGCTAACTAGCCAAAAAACCTGGGCCCGCAGTGGTGTATGTGTTACAAAGCTCTGAGCGGGACTGTTGCATGGCAACTAGTTAGCTGACATCCATGTGAGCGTATTCCTTTAAGAATTTCCTATGTGTTTCAATGCTTGATAGAAAACCTACCTTTTAAAGCTTTCCAGCAGCTATTGCCAGTCATTTTATGTGGACATTAAAAAAGGAGGGTAATTCCTTACCGATGGCAGTGAAATGCATGGGGATATAGTAAAAGAGATCAGTGTGTGATGTTCCTCAGCTCAAGTGTCGCTGGGAGCTGCCACCACTCCAGGGATTCAGGCCTTTTCACATGGATGCTGCTGATCCTCGGACGTGTCTGGGTGAAGTCAGGCTGTGCATCGCCATTGTTTTCATTGATGGGCTATTAATTCGGAGGCGCTGCAGGGGACAGGCTGCCTTCCCCCTGGGAACTGCCAGCCCCGGATTGCATCTGGCAGTGTAGCTGCATCCTGGGGACAGGAGGCCGAGAGAGGTTCTTCTGCCTGGCCAAGCAGTGCTCAAAGCAGCCCATGAGGGTTGTGAGAGAATAGGGGAGCAGGGAACAGAGTCCTGGCACGGCTGTATCCTGGCCATGAATGGCAGCGATTAGGGCCTGAGTGCTTCCCTACCGGCTCCCCAGCTCTGAATGGACTGAATCCCCCAAGTCTCTGGGCAGCATGTCAGCAAGGGTGTGCTTATCACTGAGCCTGGATGGCACCAAACCCACACTAATGGGTCCCAGTGTGCAGCTGAATCAGGATTATAGGCTCTCCTAATATTATTGTAATACAAAGTGATTGTGGTGGGCATTTACTAACGTTAAAGGATGAGTTTTGTAAGTTGCCCTTGGGAGTATCTTTGTTGCATTCCCATGTGAATTTATCTTTCCATCGTAACTTACTGGGGAGTTTCAGTGCTGGTTTTTGCTCAGGGATTCAGTTACATGATCTGCTGTAGGCTTTAAAATCAGTTGCTTTTGCCTGTACATGCTCATGCGTTAGCTGATATTTCAGAGGATGTGATGATGTAAGCCTAGGTGTCTGAGATAAAAGCCCTTGATCTGCCTGTAGCTAAAGCAACTTGCACTCAAACCATAGTAGATGTAACAGTGCAGTGAGTATGCACACAAAGATTCCAAAGCATGCCCGAAACCACTATGAATAAAATGAAAGTGAAGGAAACGTGATGGCTAAAAGGTCCTGTGAAATTTGAGGTCAGCACAAGCATTCCAGCCAGACCTTTCAGATCAAGGCTAGCGTGTGTAAAGCTGAATGTCTCTATCTACAGAATGGGCTGATTTTTGGGGGATGATGCAACCTGATTGACCCATCAGAGATGGCTGGAGTCAATGGAGAAAGGATTTTTCCTGCCTGCATGGACAGGACCCTGGCCCTGCTCTTTCTTCCTCACAGGAGCTGCCGGGGACCGCATGAGCATCCCTCTCCTGAGGCAGAATGTTAGAGGGACACTTGGGCGGTAGCTGGGAACCTTTCTGCCACATCCCGGTTGTTCCATTTCCAGAGGAGCTTCTTTCCAGCCTCACAGAAGTACTTGCTCACACGGGCTGCAGGAGGCTAAACCCTGGCCTTGCTCTTTTGCAGGACGATGATTCCCGTGACCGAGTTTCGCCAGTTTTCGGAGCAGCAGCCGGCGTTCAGGGTGCTGAAGCCTTGGTGGGATGTGTTCACGGACTATCTCTCTGTTGCCATGCTCATGATTGGTGTGTTTGGGTGCACGTTACAGGTACGTCCATCGGGACTGACGCAAGGCTCTTGCGGTGGGGCTGAAAGAACACCACCAATGAGTAAGGAAGGAGGGTGTCATAGCTTGTTTTATCTCCTGGGCTCCCCGTGAACAAAGCAAAACTCTGCTGGTCCCAGGATTAAAGCTGTTTAGGTAGCAACGTCAAATAACACAGAGCAGGCTTCTAGCAGCTATAAATCAGCAGAGCTGCGCTAGACTTGATGGGGTGGTGCCAGCTAAGATAAGAGCTGTTGGCTTGGCTTGTGCCTGGGTGCCTGTTTGTACCACTATTTGGCATAACGAAGCAGATGATCAGCTGAACCCCCTATTTGCTACCATTTTTCTGTTTAAAAGTTTGAAGAATGTAATCTTGTAATTTCTGTTTCCATTTGGCAAATGTTAATATTCCTCCTGTTGTTATGCTTCAGAGGGCTTTGAAATGAATGTGCTTATTTTATTAACAGCACCCACAACTAATATTATGCCTCTTCCATTACAAAACATCTCTGAGGATGCTTACACGTAAATTACTGACATTACCGACAATCACTGCTAGTTACATTTTGCTAAAGAGCCAAAAGCTGAAAGGAAATGAAAGTACTATTGGGGATGGACTCCACAAAAATAGAAAGTTACAGCACTAGCACAAGCAGGAATCTCATGTTCCTTGGCATGACTTGGAAATGGAGCTAAAGGGAAACAGTGGCAGAGCTCTTATTTCAGGGGAATTCGCTCTCCTACATGATGTTCTCATACCATGTCCCAGCTTTCACAGGAAACCAGCTGTAGTTTTGCCTGTATTCTCCATTTCAAGTATTTTCAGTTGAAAAGAGATGATGCCCATGTTTAAAAATCTCTTTATAGAGGGCATAATTTTGCATTACCAGCCAAGTGTTCTCTTAAGCACACAAAGTAGAACATCTGCTTTTTCTAAGTTTACCTGCTTGGTTGGATGAAGCACAGGGGAAAACAATGTGTAGAAGCACTGGAAATAATAGGTGATTTTGGTTTTTTAATGCCAGCTTAGGAATTAAAAGCCAGCGTGGACCATCAAGGAGGATCTGATTTTGGCAGCTGTTGCTGCATACCCTGTTTTTAGTGCTTTCAACAACCATGATGTCAAAGAATACATTTACACTCCGCACACTGTGTTTGGGCTAAGCCCAGTTAGTCATTCAGGGCAAGTAACAGAGCTCCTTGGTTTGTCACGGGGGTTAGCATCTTAAATTCAGACCTATAGGGAGTCTTGCACTGAACTCAGACTGTTACCCCAAGTTAAACCAAAGGCGATTGGTTCCTAAAGGCTCTCTGACCTCAGTCTGTCAACATGGGTGGCCAGCCCAAATTAAGAAGGTTGCTCTTTTTTGCCCTATAGACAAATCAAGGACAGGTCAGAGCTGCTTTCCCGGCCGCAGGTGTGTGGTACAAGGACTCTGTGTATGAGAAACTGAACAAAAATGGCATGCATGCACCCATGCAGTCAAATACTGTCAGTTCTCTGTATCCCTATCTGTCTTTATTAAACCTGAAGAGTAATGATGTCCCAGCGTGATATGCCCCATTAGTTCTTTGTCAGCTGTTTCCCGTGTGATAAGACATCACAGTGTGAGCGTACAGCCACATGAATGCGGTCATGCAGCTTTCAAGCCTGAGCTATCTCCGAGCATCGTGTAGCCAGGGTGAACACACCTGGCAAGAGCAGCCTGTCCCTGGGGAGAGCAACGCAGGAGATCCGTGGTCTTTCCGGGAAGCATCACCCACACTTTTCCCTTTTCTGGCTTATCTCAGTACCTTTTTGTTCAAATTACAGAAAGCTGGTGATAGATGGAAAAGGGTGATCTAGTTCTTGGCACGTAGAACGAGTGCCTCGCTGGGAATAACCATAATAACAACAACAACAGTAATATTCATAATAGCACAGCCTATGTGGCCAAGAGCCAGGCCGTGGAGCCTGGCAGCTGGAGGGACTCCAAGGACAGCTACCCTTTGGTACTGCCACCCCTGTCTGTACATCGGTTTAAAAGAGTCTTTTTGTGTGTTTCAGGTCATGCAAGACAAGATAATATGCCTTCCAAAGCGCATCCAGCCTTGCCAGAACCAATCTAATAGTTCAAATGTGTTTAACACAATCCAGGATACAACCCCTCTTCCTCCACCCAGGCCATCCACCCCTCCAGCTACAGTTGAAATGAAAGGACTGAAGACTGATTTGGACCTTCAGCAGTACAGCTTTATAAATCAGGTGTGCTACGAACGTGCTCTGCACTGGTATGCCAAGTACTTCCCTTACCTTGTCCTTATTCACACACTGGTCTTCATGCTGTGTAGTAACTTTTGGTTCAAATTCCCTGGGTCGAGCTCCAAGATTGAACACTTCATTTCAATCCTTGGGAAATGTTTTGATTCTCCCTGGACAACAAGAGCCTTATCCGAAGTGTCAGGGGAAGACTCCGAAGAGAAAGATAACCGGAAGAACAACATAAACAAGTCTAATACTATCCCACCAAGCACTGAAGGCACTTTGGTCAAGACGCAGTCCCTAAAATCAATCCCTGAGAAGTTAGTTGTGGATAAAGGAACACCTGGGGCGTTAGATAAGAAAGAAGGGGAACAGGCCAAAGCACTGTTTGAAAAGGTGAAGAAATTTCGACTGCACGTGGAGGAGGGTGACATCCTCTATGTCATGTATGTTCGCCAGACTGTACTCAAGGTAATTAAATTCCTTATTATTATTGCTTACAACACGGCGCTGGTCTCGGAGGTGAATTTTACAGTAGTCTGTAACGTTGATATTGAAGACATGACGGGATATAAGAACTTCTGCTGCAATCACACCATGGCACATCTGTTCTCTAAGCTTTCTTACTGCTACCTGTGCTTTGTAAGCATCTATGGCCTCACCTGCCTTTATACACTGTACTGGTTGTTCTACCGCTCGCTGAAAGAGTATTCTTTCGAATACGTTCGGCAAGAGACGGGAATTGACGACATCCCAGATGTCAAGAACGACTTTGCTTTTATGCTTCATATGATTGACCAGTATGATCCTCTCTATTCCAAGAGGTTTGCTGTCTTCCTGTCCGAAGTCAGTGAAAATAAGCTGAAACAGCTGAACCTGAACAACGAGTGGACCGCAGATAAGCTGCGGCAGAGGCTACAGACGAACTCCCATAGCCATTTGGAGCTACAGCTTTTCATGCTCTCTGGACTGCCCGACACGGTCTTCGAAATTACTGAGCTGCAGTCGTTAAAACTTGAAATCATTAATAATGTCATGATACCAGCAACCATTGCACAGTTGGACAACCTCCAGGAGCTCTCGTTGCACCAGTGCTCTGTGAAGATCCACAGTGCTGCCTTGGCGTTTCTGAAGGAGAATCTCAAGATCTTAAGTGTCAAGTTTGATGACATCAGAGAACTTCCACACTGGATGTATGGCCTCAGAAATTTGGAAGAGCTCTATTTAATTGGCTCCCTGAGTCACGATATTTCCAAGAACATTACACTGGAGTCTTTTCGGGAACTTAAAAGCCTTAAAGTTCTTTATATAAAGAGTAATTTGTCCAAAATCCCACAATCTGCAGTCGATGTTTCAAGTCACCTGCAAAAACTATGCATCCATAACGACGGCACTAAGCTGGTGATGCTCAACAACCTGAAGAAGATGGTCAACCTGACACAGCTGGAACTGGTTCATTGTGATTTAGAGCGCATACCTCATGCAGTCTTCAGCCTTCTCAGCCTTCAGGAATTGGATCTGAAGGAAAACAACCTCAAATCCATTGAAGAAATAGTAAGTTTCCAACATCTACGAAAACTGACAATCCTGAAGCTGTGGTACAACAGTATAACATACATCCCAGAGCATATAAAGAAACTCACCAGTCTCGAGCGGCTCTCCTTCAGCCATAACAAAATAGAGGTTCTTCCGTCCCACCTATTCCTATGCAACAAAATCAGATACTTGGATTTGTCTTACAATGACATTCGCTTTATCCCACCTGAAATAGGAGTTCTGCAGAGTTTACAGTACTTTTCCATCACCTGCAACAAAGTGGAGAGCGTGCCAGACGAACTGTACTTCTGCAAAAAACTGAAGACTCTGAAAATTGGGAAAAACAACTTGTCAGTCCTTTCTCCTAAAATCGGGAATTTGGTGTTCCTCTCCTACTTGGATATTAAAGGCAATCACTTTGAAATCCTCCCACCTGAGCTCGGGGAGTGCAGGGCTCTGAAGCGGACTGGTTTCACTGTAGAGGACACCTTGTTTGAGACGTTGCCTTCTGATGTCAGGGAACAAATGAAAGCGGAATGACTAACTTGTGCTGAGTTACATACAGAAATAACGCTTCTACCAAATACGCTGTAGAAAGTGCATACTCCAAATATGCATTTAGTTTGTCATTATTACTTTTTCTCCTTTTTTCAAGCAGATCCTTTCTGTACAAACTTGGAGCGAGGAGTACGTATATTTTTAAATAAAATGTTCTGGTATTTTTTCACTGTTTTAAGATATTTTTTAAGTTGGTTTTGCCCTCAGAGCAGGGGTGGCTGTAACTTAATTTCTACTGGTAAAAGTAAATGGTTTTATCTGCTGATATTTTGGGTTTTTTTCCTTTGCCTGATCCCAACAGGGGAACTGTGTTTAGAGCGTATGCTTTGGGTTGTGTAGATGATTATGTTGTCTTCCTGGTTATTGTTAATCCCTTAGGACATGGTCTTCGATGGGTGGTGCTGAAGGTGTTGAATGCCTTGTTTCCTCGTTTCTTCAGTGGCAGTAGAAGGCGTTCAGCATCTTATGAGATCAAATCTGGGTTGACTGTCCTTTTTTATTTGTGGCGTGGCTTTCTCAGGTGGTCAGAGCAAGTTGAAAATGTTCTTTATGTATCTTGCCAGGTCTGAGGGAGCATGCAGCACTCCTCCAGGGCCTTTGGGCAAGCTCAGTCTAGCTGCCTGTTCACACAACACACCGAGCAGGAGGCACTGACTGTGGGTTCCTCTCCTCAGGAAGAGTAAAGTCACAACACACAGAGGAGTCCGGACCAAAGTGACTCATGTTTGAAGATGTTTCCAAGCAGTGCAAAGGGATGTGGCTGCCCGTTTCCTGCCAGCTTGGATGGAAAGGGTGCAATGAACTTACTGCGCTAGAAATGTCAACCCCATAAGGTGAAACACTCGCTTGAAATATCCCCATCCTCCCCTAAGCACCTTGTCCTGCAAGGGAGAAAGTGCCCTCTGCCCCCCGCAGTTCACTTCCCCACGGGATGCTCGGCACCTTGCAGGAACGGGATCCAGAAAAAGTGCAATCATGTGTAGTTTGTAAAGCTTATGACAAGGAAATAGGATTTAATACGTTCCTTCGTGGAGCTTGGGCATCACAAAACCAAGCTCAGCACAGGGACATTTGCAGATTTGCAAAAGTGAGATTAAATAAATACAGTAACTTCTCAAAGGTCTCATCCTACCGCGTCTTCATCACCATCCCACCAGAGGACAGTGATGAAGGCTATTTTCAACTCCCAGCTAGTAATTACATTGGAAATCATACAGTTGGAAGTCTGTAATAATCTGTAATAATTATGCATCAGGTTGGGAACTTTATCCTCTGAAGCCATGTTCGGTGGTTTGTTTAATTCAGCCATTTGCTCTCTTTTAGGCAAGTTTGGCAGGTATATGAGAACTCATGTGCTGCTCACCAGCTAATTTAAGCTAATGAAAAACAACCATTGATAGTAAGACATTTTGCTGGAAAGAGATCGCTTCAGCTGTCCAACAACACATCTTTGAGTCAGATGCAGGCACTGGATAAATGCTTTGCAGGAACATCTAGGAATCATAGGATAGTTAGGGTTGGAAAGGATCTTAAGATCATCTAGTTCCAACCCCCAGTACTTCTTTCTCTCGGAGGCAAAGCTGTTCATAACTCGCAGGCATTGAGTAGCTGAGTGTTGAAAGCTGTGTAAAATAACTATATGATGACTGTCACGTTGGTGGCTCTTCAGGGTTTCCTAATTGCCCTCGCGTGTCTTGAGCTGCAGTTGAACTGAGATCTTGGGCTTGCTACAGGAGCATACTGTTGTTGTAAGAGTCTGACTTACAAAGGTGGGGAGACAGAGTGAAGTGAGGATTCCCTCATCAACGCAGGGTGTGCTGTGCAGTCTGGTGGGGGGTTTGCCACCCTACCAAGCCAGGCTGATTTTTGTGCTTGGCTACATTCTGGAGCAGGTCCACGTGATTAATCACAAATGGGTCAGGCGTGAAGGAATCAAAGCAAGCTCTTCTAAAGGGCTCTGATTTAGTTCTGTTAAAGACCTAAAACTGTTGTAGCTGTTGCGAGAGCTACTCTTACTCGTGTGTGGAATGCACTTATTGGAGCAGCTTGGCAGTATGTATATTCCAAACGTATTTCACTTTGATGTAATGTGAGGGAGAGAAATGTTTCATTGCTCGTATTAACCTAATTATGTAAACCAAAGTGCTGTTGTCCCTGATGAATGTAAACTGTTTAAAATGTCCAAGTAATTGGTGGAGCTGTATAGTTCTCTGGCTTAGATTTGAAATATGGGATTACATTTAAAGTTTTTTTAAAGAAATCTTTCTATTCCTAGATGTAGCATTTTAAATCCCTAATTTATTTTGTGTCTAATGTTGTTTCATGTGTAGTTTGTGCTCTGGTTTCTGAATGGAAGTTATGCACACCTCAGAACTGAAGGTTGGAGACTTGTTCTATGCCATTTTTGTAAATACATCACTTAGGGGATGTGGGGGTTTTGGTTGTTACTGATTATAGTTGTACCAGTGCAACCCCTCCTGTGGACACAGTTACATGAGTATGAAGTGCCTTGTGCTGGCATATCTTTATTCACGTTGATAGGAATAAACTATACCGGTCTAAGCACTTTCACACGAATAAACAACTATCTTCTCCAAGGGTTTGGTCTACTGAGACAGCTTCGTTGATCTAACAGCTCACTGCCACCAAAAAGGGGCAGTTTCTTCCTCCTCCCATGCTCCCTATTCCTGCCAATATATTCTGGCTGCTTCTCTTATACCTTTACTGGTCTGGTGCTGGTCTGATCCCTCCACAGGACAAATCGACTTGAGAATGCAGCAGGAAATGAAGTTTAAGAAGAAAGGGACTTGTTTTCTGCTTGATGAGCTCTCCAAAGGATTGGATGGACACGAGGGCGGCACTACAAGGGAGCAGGACTCTGCAGCCAGGGTCTGGACAAGGAGAAGGTGGGACACAAGTCACTTTGGAGGCGCTGAGCTGCGGGGTCAGTCCATCATCTTGGAGAGCTGTGCTGCTGTATCTGCCGCAGGGTTGGGCAGCATGGCTTTTGTGGGCAGACAGCCCTCAGGCTTGCAGTGAATGATCAACTATCACATTACTGTTAATTGCTTCAACTTAACGAAACAAACTCAGGTAGCTGCACTGCTGACTTTTCTAAACTTCTTACTCTCTGGTCGGTGGGGTGTGTTTTCCAAACCCATTTTGCAGGATTTTAGAAGTGTGTCAGCTCAGAGAAGATTGTTTCCTAATTCTGTGTGACATCCAGGAAAATATGTACAAGTGCCATATTTACTCAGTGATTCATGTACTGCTCATATGTATATTCACATGCAACGCATTCTAGACTTTTCTGTGACCTATAGTATTTGACTTAGGATGGATGGGCATTTTGTGGATAATACTTTAGGCATGGTTTATATATAAACAAAGAGTTTATATAACTACATACATTAAGCAGGTGCCTAACAAGTACAATTCCAGGATATAAGCAAGGCGTTTTACATTATTGCTCAAAAAGTGACACAGATCTTCCTTGGTAATGGAAGCAGAGACGACAAAAAGAGTACATCAAAAAGAAGAAGACAACCTTAACAGTATGTTAAGCCTGAAAAACAAATCTACTTTGTGATCAAAATCTGGAGATACGCATCTCCCCTTTTGTCAAAGTTAGGAGGAGTATTTGTGCATCCAGCCAGCCCAAAAACTAATGCAAATTGTGATTGGAAAGTGCCTGCTCCAAGTTCTCATGTCACATTTCTGGCACGTCTGACAATTCATGTGCTTGAGTGGTGATGAATCCTGTAAGAATGCCAAGGAAAACCTTTGAAATTTGACCAAATGAACAAACTCCTTAATTCTGTAGCAAGAATCTTAATCTGATAGACCTGTGTAGTGTTAGGCTGCAATATACTACACCCAGAAGAAATGGAAATAAAATGCTCTTTTGTAATAACGAACATGGTCGGGCTGCGATGTGATTATTTGTTTGGGAAGCGTTTTGTTTCTGGGTTACCTACAGATCAGATATAACCATCTTTTGGGTTTGATCCCTTGGGAGGGAAGTCAAGAAAATATGCTTGAAACAACATCATTAGACCTGACAGGTTTATAGCTGTGTAGTCCCACTTCCCCTGCTCCAGCAGCCAGCAAAGAAGCTGTCCCAGTGGGAGCAGCTCCCCTGCTCCGGTCCCTGTGCTGCGCCAGGGCTGGTGGGGGATGCCTAACCCTGCACTAAGGGAATTGATGCTCTCAGCCCTTGCATCTGACATAACCCTCTATAAATCTCCTGACCAAAGGCGATGGGCTTGTGCTGCCTGTGTTTGGCACAAGAAATGTTCCTTGTCTCTCTATATCTTTAAGTTGGAAGCAATGAAGTGTTTCAGTTTGGGGGTTTTATACCAAGACAACGCTGTCCTGATGAGATGGAGCAATGCTCCTGTCTGGTCGCTGCGGTCCCAAGGAGGGGAGGGGAGCGATAACCACAGCAGCTTTGCCTGTGGCTGAGCCCTGGCAGAGAGCTGGCAGCAGGGACACGCTGCCCCTGGGGCACGGCAGGCTTCACGGAGGAGGAGAGGGATTCTATGAGTGTGCTGGTGGCAGGAGGAGTTTTTGGCCCCAATTAGCCCAACACACCTCTTCTACCAGATTGCCAAACACACGTGCTGGGAAGCAGGAGTTGACTGGAGCAGGTACCATGTCCTGAGAAACCCACACCCTGGGGGACTCCCAGCCCCAGCAGCTGCATCATCTGCTTGCCAGCAAGCTGGTGCTAGGGCCAATTTGTCCTTCACTTCCTGCCAAATAGCTCCTGGGAATTCCCAGAAACTGTGGCAGTTTGCTTTTGTGACTTCATATATTGCATTTGGTAGCGCGGGCGATGAGAAGACAATTGCATGTTTGTCCTTTGGAAGGAGGACATGAAGCTCTGAAGATTGAGATGAAGAAGAAGCAGTTTCTGTTTCTCTTCTTTTTCACGCCGAGGGTACAGGTTCTTTCCACTGCTGCCTCCATCCCCATGAGCCGTGGGCAGTGGGAGCAGTGGCCCTCGGGCAAAGGCTTGTGCTGGCAGAGAAGCTGTGTTTTCATCACTGTCCTGATACGAAATAGGCTGTGTTGTGACTGGGCCGTGGCTGACAGCTTTGGCTCAGGCAGGTAAACGTGAGCTGTCTGCAGGTGAACAGGCTGAAATGGGGCTGGCTTAGAGAG